ATTGCACAATTCTGACAATGTAAAGTTTACGGAGAAAAAGAAATGAGCATGTAATAATCATTGTTTTGGAGTATCAATCCTTTCCGATGTAGTAGATACATATGATGGACCACACCGGCTCAGTAGCACAATGTTTTCCACCTTAATTCTAGCTCACCAGGTACATACAGATACCGAACAACAATTGTTTCCTATTGGTCCTAATGGTAGTGAAAGTGAAGTCATTTTGTGAGTAACCGTGATTATTTTGTTGAATTGCAATAGCATGTTTTTATCCGATTATCTGATGTGGTTTCATTATTTAGTGCTTATATAATTAATGGAAGTTGTGTTGCCCATTAGTAACCATATGCCATAGCTCCAGGAGCTAGTCCCCTACATCCGAGTGCAAGCACAATTGCTTGGTCACGATGTATTTTAACATGTGAGATACGATCCCGCACACGGTGTTTAGCCACCAATGTAGTAAGAGATCCAGAAATTCTTTTCCAGGATATGTTTGTAATGGCCACGTTAACGTTCCGTGTAAATAAATACAATCAGGTGCATTTGCGACACCTACACAATCGTTTGAAGTTAATGGCTCTACTTCTTTCAATCTGATTACAACATCGACAATGGTAAATGAGTATTGGTATGATCATAGAAGTAAACGATTATTTTGGAAGAAATGGAATATCAGTCTAATGAACATCATTTTCGTATTTCTAACCGCTAGAAAATTTTGCTGAAATTGTTAAATAAATTCACTACAGTGACTGTTAGACCACTCATTCTCTGGGATCACCATTGATGACATTTGTACGCTTTCTACCGCTTCACCTATCCAATAATCGCGAAGATTATATTATGTTTTATAATGTCATATGTTCTGTTTCAATGATTGTATCAATATAGTTTACCTCCAGTGAGTTGACTTTGCAACCATTCAGTGGTAACACCCACACCAATCGTGGCCTTTTTAATGATTCATGATCCATGTTGATACTATTGTTCCTAGTGTTGGATTAATTGCATTCAGTCATGGATGAGATTCATGTCGGCATGTTTACGTACAGTGATATATTTTATATTCAATAAGGTCATGTAGGTAACATGCAGCATCAACAAAATTTGTTAGTGCTTCACTATATTTGGATGGTTGTTAGACTCAAGTCGTATATCAAGCCTTGTATGAGACTAACGGGAATATTTTTAATCGGATATTTACTTGTGCTTATGTTAATGCAGGAGCGGAATCTCCTCCGACGACTTCTTTTTTAAATCGGAGCATTAAGAGAGATGACCCAGACACTCACGACAGACCTTGAAATTACAATAAAAATCGTTAAATTATTTGCTTCTTATCGAACACAAACTCCAATGATCTGTGTTCTATATTTACGCGTTTAAACTCAAGTTAGGTTCACAGTACGAGTTTTTATGCGGTATTGCGCACAGTATGAACATTTATGTATTATTTACTGTATTATTCCACGGCACCACAAAAAAGTAAATTCTAGCAATTGATTTATCTGTAAAAGCAGCACCTACACCACTTGATCATATTTATGACGAAACTAATTAGATGTTTCCAAACTATGCATTATGCATTAACGCACTTGCATTATTCATTAATCCTACTGGATCAAGAAAAACTCAACTGTTGTTTGATATGATTTTAAATGGATAACATTGGATAGGATTTACGTTATTGCGCCTCAGCGGATAATAACCCGTGTTAGGAACTTTTCAAGGATTTAAAGAAAGCGTAAAGTGAAAAGGCCTTATCGTCCACGACTGGTTTATTTTCACGATGGATGAAACACCTATCATTAATCATTTCGATGTAAGTAACAATCGTCTTGTCGTGAATGACGATGTGATACTTGACAAAGAAATCAATACTGCGAGATTAGTTTCAATAGCGCTATGTGATCTGTTTGTCTCGGCGATACACGCAGGTGCCTGAAGTAATATGCGACAACTGTCACATGCTGATGAGACTTGGTGCCTTTCACACTCTGTACTCCAATTACTCATTGGATTTTGTGTGCCGCTAACTATTTGTGCAATGAGTATCGGGATCTGTTATCTGAAGCCACTAAAGATCCGCATTGTTCTCACTATAAATGTGCCTGTTAGTCCCAAGAACACAAAAATAATACGCGGGTTTAGACACGAACGTATTTCACGCGACAATTTAACAGTTATGAACCGTCGTATAAAATTTCAAAAGAGAAAGGTCCTCTTTCTGCCAGTGATGTCATAGAAGAGTATGAAAATCTAAGCCATAAAACCGCTCATGCACACCTTTGCGCATTCGTAATGTTATAGATGGCCGCCAAAGTTCAAACATATGTTACAATTACGATTAACTTCACACAAAAATCTCACATTGGGATTTGAGAAAACATATGCAACGCTGATTAAAGCAAGACGTTTATAGAACATACCGAGTATATTAAAATGGCAACAAGAGCAACAGTGGAATAGGTGACAGTGGTCACGAAAACGAAAGAATAACCGGGTCCACTTCATAAAACAAGTAAACGCACAAAAGATATTAAAAACAGCCACAAGAGCAGTTGTTGCGATTACTCAACGCTTGCCAACGGCATTGCTGAAGTGTATGAAGACGTTTGAGAAATTGGAGAAACCGCTGCTGTGATCGTTCAAGGCACGCATGTACTTGATGAAGATATTAGAGAAGCGACATTATGATAAATTAGCCCCCTTAGCACAGGTAGTAGACACAAACATATCAATACTTTAAGGATCAAATTCGACAGATGATTTTCGTGAATCTTATGTATTTTGATCTGAACAGACCAGATTGGAAAGAGTACTTGTTTTGATTACCACCAAAAAGATATAACAATATGGACAACTGAATGCCCTAAAATGTTTGGTTAAACGCGGACAAAAGTAAAGAAGATAGAAACGTACATACCTCAGCCAGAAATACGCTTACAACCAACACAAGAATTGCCAAGCCATCCTGCATATGAGGAGCAACCACAAATAAACCAACGTGCACTTTACATTCTACATGCATGTGAGGAATAACAACCTGCATATATAAGGAATAGCAACAACAAGAGCAAACAAAGCAAGGAACACAAAATGCACCGAAAACGCATCCTAGAAATGAAAAATGCAATGGCTCATTGGGTGATCATAACAACCTTATGGACCGATTGAAAGCACTTGTGGGATTAATTCGTCCCGGCAACAAGGTACTAGATATCATTGAGACTCGATTGATTTGTAAGCGATTACTCAGCTATCATCAACATAAAGACACATCCCGCTTTGATGTATGAATTTGTTGAAGACATCATTAACGTATATTACGATACCGATGACGAGTTCTAAGGCAATATGAATGCTGGGAGGCAGCAAGTTGTTGTTAATGCAATCCAAAGCCTTACCTCAATAATCACAATCTCATCAACGAAACCAAACTTTATTGTGACATTTTCTTCACTTGTCACAGTTGAAGAATTGAGCATACTTGAAACTGAGTTAACGTCATTGAGAGTTTATTACTGTTTAGTAGTCTTGTTGCTAATAACTCACTCGTGTTTTCAGCTGATAATGGTGCAACCTGGAATAATAGTTAATTTCCTTTGACCCGTATGGCATACAACTGATTAGTGAACTAATTTGACGAATAATCAATTGGTGACTTGCAAAAACACTAACATTATACGTGAACAAGCCCACCTCTCATTTCGATTGATTCTGCACCATATGTGGTTGAGATTAAAATAAGATCAGTTTCGGGTTGACCTGACGGCATTTTAGTCGCAAACAATTTTTACGCAAGAGATATCATATCGAATTAGACACTTTCAGAATTAACCCAAATAAGCATTATAAAATTAGCTTCTGTCCCAATTTGTGGCTGTTATAAAAGCAGGTCTGAACCGACAGGGATCAGGGTTGTATACTGTTTGAATTTTTACTTACTTCGGACCTGGGTGATCTTATATCAAATACTCAAACATCGTCTGTGCATTTTTCATTTTTTAAATAACCGATTGACATTTATTAATTTTGCCCTTTTGATAAACACGGATACATGTTATACTTGCTTGCAACGACTTGACAATACAACAGTACACTGGAGACCGAAAATATATTTAATATTATGACCTGTGATACCAGTGCATGTTGTTAGTACGAGAAACCCGTTTTATATAAAATGTTACAAAACAGGCCTTGACAATGTTGTTAGTGGATTGCATGCTTGCAGGTGTACCATAGGTGTGCATGGGAATCTCTTCACTGGCTTCTCTCATTGTTAAACATGTTGCAATGCGAGTCGTCGATAGCAACCAAAATGTTACTTCAGATAGCATTCAAAACTCTAGGACTGTTGAGCGAGACAGTTGAGTGCAACGAATAGTGACTCCTACTAAATGAGGTTACATTACTATCTATAGTAACATTGCTAGCTACTATTAGTAACACATTAATGAACCCGCTCAACAACGCCAATTAGATTAGGTTATTGCAAATCTGGCAATGAGGAGCCAGTTTGGACGGCAAGCCGTCTAGGTATTAGACAAAGTCAATGTATCAACAATGTCCCAATCCGAAGTTATATCAATTCTCTCATTTGATATTGGTGTGTTTGTGTTAATGGGTCGAAAAGAAAGAAATTATCAGTATTATACATATTGCCAGTGCTAACCAAAAGATACGTAGATGAACAAATCGTAGGCCTCTCCGAAATGCTACACGTGTTAACTTTATATGGATACTTAAAAAGAATACAAATCAGCGAATAAATGTGTGTGTATCTGTTTTGGAATTTTAACGTAGCTTTAGACAGTTTTGCAGTCACATCGCTACGAAGTGTGGCAGTTGACAGTGAATTCAAATATATAGGCATAATGCCGCAGAAATGGAGAATGTTGTCCCACCACTCACATTATCCTAATACCTGACCGACCAGTCCCAACAAAAAACGTCTTTATGTTAAGCGCCAAGCTTAACAATTTTCTTTGGTATGACTCGGCCAGTGTTCGAACCCGCAACCTACCGCATTCGAAGCGGACGCTCTAACCACTAGGCCACCGGATTGGTCCAAGCAATGAAGAGAAAAATAGTGATTTTATAACAAGTGGCCTGTTTGCTTTAAGTTTTATTGACGGTGATTAATTTTAAAAATTTTAATCTACTATCTTAAATGTGCGCGCGTCTGTTCGTATGTGTTTTTTTTTCTTGTGCAGATATAGAGGCGAGGGGGTATTATAACAATGCTGATAAATGATCTACGGACATTTTCAAGAATTTGTTACATATGCAGTACCATATTATTAGATGCTGGAGATAATTTTATAATTTTATAATTCAGTTCGAAGGTATGAAAGTATTATATATATATATATATATATATATATATATATATATATATATATATATATATATATATATATATATATAGAATTCGTTGTAATACCAAAATAGTTATTTAGTCGGAAAGTTGTAAGCGCTATGTAATTCCATGGAATAATTCAAAAGCAGCTTAAAGACTGATTCAAATACAGAGACCAAGATATGAAGAAATACTTCGTATATTGTTAACGTTAATATTAAATCCTAAGCAACAATAAGAAGGCCAGGATGAGGGTCAAATATTCATTTTCAGACCATTCTTAGTTACAAACATAAGATCTTTTACTTGAATATTTCTAAAGAACATGGCAAATGTCATGAGGACCAGGAAATTTCCAACGAGAAAACCAATGTCCTGAAATCAGATCCAAGTAAACATGTTTACCTTCAAGTAATAATAATCTTACCTATCGAGACTACCATACTTCAGGATGAAATACAACCAATGAAGACATTTTCATGAGTCTTCGTGATTACCGGGAAAAAAACATGAATACATACATACATACATACATACATACATACATACATACATACATACATACATACATACATACATACATACATACATACATACATACATACATACATACATACATACATACATACATACATACATACATACATACATACATACATACATGTTACTTGTGTTCCATTCGATAAAATTGTTGATTTCCTTTTTCTATTGGAATGCAATCGTGATTATTTTTATTCAGCTCCTGTCTTTTTGCCATTGATGGGCACAGCCTTGAGAGATCGGGCCGTGATGCCAATAGCGCTGGGATAATGTAATTTATTTCTTCAGAGGATGCACGAGATGAAAATAAATATATTCGGTATTCTTGACGCAGATCGTTTATTACCTGTATCTAAATAACATTAAATGGTTAATAAATAAATAAGATTTATAGGGTACTGTATTTGTATGGGAAAATATGAACGAATTTTTCGGATGGCTATACTGCACGACCTTGGGAGCAAGTATATCCATTCGACAAAACTAGTTTATATTTTCCTATACAAATGCAGTAACCTTTATGTTATATGCTCATTTTCTTATTCTTCCCATTACTCAAATATATAAACAAAAGTACATATAAATAAACAAACTAACCGAATGTATGCCGTTTTCCAAAAACTAAATATACAAGCGTAGTTGCATAAAAACAAAATATTATTAATGCGCACGTTTCTACGCCCAGACAATTTTTGGAAGTTGGTCGCGATAGACGTAATTTTCGAAATCAAATGGAGCAATATTGCTAATGAGTACGCATTGCAACAACTTTTCCATTTGATCTGGAATGAATACGCTTTGGCTCTTTTGTCGATTCGACGCAATTTTGTGATTATAGTCTGGATTTATCTACATGTAGCAACTTACATCAGTTTCCAGTAGCGTATGCCAATTTAATCGTATTGAAGTGTGTTGACATCAGCATGCGTGTTTCTGTTCTGTTATTAAATGATTCAGATCAAATGTGGGAAAATTAGGATGCTTTTGAATTGCACTTATCGAAAGGACGCTGTGGAATTTAATGCTTATTTCATTTTGAGCGCAGTAAGGAGGATGTAACTGCACTTGGAATATACTCGAAATGACAGTACAATTTCAAAATGTTTAATCAGCCTTGAAAACCCATGACATGGCTAATGTAATTCGAATTTGCAGAACTACGAAATTATAGGAAATTCAGGATGTAACATTATAAGTATTTTTGTCACTTTTATTACCAGCTAATGAAAACAATTTATGTATATTTACTTGCTTGTTATTGTGATGATCCTGTCTGGTGTTTATAGCTAGCCTAAATCTGAAACATTGTATCCAAAGGTAACGCGGAATGTGCCAAAGCAGCCTGTTTGTGTCAGTCTGTTTAACAATTGCTCGTATGTGGCAGTTCAAGAACTGTCTGCTCGTATGTGGCAGTTCATAAAAAAAATTGTTTACGCTAGAAAGTAGTTCCTTATTTTTCTCGTGCATATAGTATGAATGTGGCGCAATGAATGCAATATCGGGGAATACTGAACGATTCTGCCAATATAAAGTTATCGGAGTAAAAAATGAGCATATGATAATAAATAGTCAATCCATAACGTGTACAGTCTTCCATCAATAAATGAAAATATTGTTTCGAACTCTTTTGTAATTCTGCTTACGAAAGTCTGGAAAAGTGTAAAAACCTTTATTATGATTAGTGACATAAATTATTATATGCAGAACCTTTCCAAATGTTTATGTATATATGTTATATGTGATAAGTTTGATATTGCATGCTTAAATAGAGAACGTTCATATTTTTAAGAATATGTATAATCCTTCTTTTTCGGATTCCACGAAGCCACTGTATGAATACGATAATATGTCTACTAGAATAGGTGATTCTAATAATATTGTTCTTACTCAGCTATGATATTCTGTTCATTATGCAACTGGAATAAAACATTTAGACATTTCAAAGATTTGTGTGTGAATAGGTTTGGCAATATATACCAGAATACAATCATAATGTAGACATTTCAAAGATTTTGATGTGAATTGTTTTGGTAATGATGTACCCAATGCTCCATTTACTGTCCTGACTTCTAGCATTTAGTATGAATCTGTCAACTTTGGCAACGTTAACTTTAAATTAGATTTTCTTATGTTTTGTAGACAAACATACTCAGACAAAACTTACATACCCACATAGAACGTAATATGAACATAAAACTAAGGAACCCTATATCACCCAACGCCTAGAAAAACTACGGAAAACAGATAAATTTTGTGTACAAAAGAAATGACAAGTATCTGATGACATACTATTTCGTATGATGCCTTTGAGGATTTAAACCCAATATTTTCTGGGTAAATATTAAGCCATATTTTCCTAATAAATATTGTTATGTTCATGATAATATCATTACATTGACGGTACAAAACTTTAAACAAAACCGACGAAATATAAAATCTACAAAAAATGTGCAATTAAATGTAACATTTTCCACTAGTAAAGATGCTCCCTTTAATCCATCAGAGCATCAAGACTTTAGTAATACAGATGCTCTTTTTAAATTTAAGCAAGTAAACAACAAAGAAGCGTGTGCAATGATAAAGCAAAAATACATTACCTGTTAAACTGCTTAAAGTTGGGCACCAATCCTTGTCGACTTTGTTAAAGATCTAATTAATACAATGTCACAGCCAAATATTTTCCTGATCATCTGAAGGAACCACAAGTAGTCCTGATTTTCTTAAAGAACAATCATCTTGATCAAAGTAACTATAGACCTGACAACATCCTGCCCATCTGTTTAAGAAATGAGTCTAGACCCAGTTAGCATCATGTTTGTGAACATGTTTAACAAACATTTGTGTGCTCTTCGTCAGTGTTGTGCATGCCAGACCACACTGCTATATTTACAGGAAAAAGCAATTGATGAAAACAAACATGCAGATGCAGATCTTATGGATTTATCTAAGTCTTTTAACTATTTCCTTAGATATATTATTTGCAGACTAAAGACTCAAGGTTTGTGTGATAGTTCAGGGATAACTCTTGCTGAGCTCTCTGCCAAATTGAACCAGCAAATTGCAATGCAGGGTGTCTTGAGTAGTTCGATTGACATTTTAAAAAATCTGTTCTTCTGTAATTCATCTCCGTACCGTTACCCTTTAATGTTTAATTAATGACACTTGTTATCTCATTAACTATGGCTCTTTATATAATTATGTCAATATTAGCACTATGTCATTTTCATCACCAGATTTTGACAATCTGATTAAAATACCTGAAACAGAGGAAGCCAGTCTGAGAGGGTTCAGCACTATCTTTGGGTAAAAAGACATTTAGTGTCAAACCTATACCTAAAATAAGCAGTTATATCATAAACTGTACTGAAATTACTAAGCTACTGGGAACTGGCATTGGCTATCAACTACATTTCAATTCACATATATCAAAATATTTGTTGGAAAGCTTCAAGGCAACAGTCTTGAAATGCATAGGTCGGAAGTTAATAAACTCCAGAAATTGACATTCTTCCATGAATTCTTCCTGTATAATTTCTACTTCTACCCCAAAGCTTCGCATTTCCACAAAGACATGAACATCACTAGACTTGGAAAAGATAAAATAACATACTCTGCAATTTGTGTGAGTTGATAAAAGCGGTTGTCATGAATGTTTACTCAAGGCTGAAGCTCTAGAGACGTACAATTGCTGGATTAACGTGTTTCCAAATGTTTGGAGGATTTGATATGCTTTAAACACATAAATACAATTGAGATATTTTTGAAAAGGAAGCTTACTATGCATCAGGGTAATATTTTAGACATGGAATGAGCTTACTCATCACTTTATAGAACTATTTGACCTTAATTCAGTTCAATCATTTTTTTCATCCTGCAATAGTAAACTTAATGTAATATCCCCTTTTTCTGCCATGATGAGGAAAGCTAATATATGTATGACTGTTTTGCATTTAATGTTCTTGTCCTATGTACTATAAATTTCTCTGTCGATTCCTTTCTTTTAACCTCCAAAAATAATCTGCATCTCAGCATGTCTTAAATTGATAATTTTGTGTTTGTTCTAAATTTTAATTTTTATCTAAACGTTCTATTAACACAGACTTTTCACTCTGTCAATTATTTTAACTTGTGGGTTATAATTTACAAAAGTTCAAATTTAATTACTGTCA